ATACTATAAATTAGTGCATTCTGCTAGTAAGAGTTACATAAGTGCTGAAGACCCTACCTTAAGGTTGCTACTAATCATCCTGCCATGTCTTGGATGGGGCTGCCACTCTATATGAATTTGTTTGCTGTTAACCTAGGCAGCTCACTGTAGCAAAGAGCAAAAGGAAGGAAAACAAACAAATTTTAAAGTTTCTTCTTGAATGGGGAGATGGAGGGATATGTGGGAAAAAAAACTAGGATGCTTCCTATTAGGCCAAGCTCAATGGTAAGTAGAAAACTATGTCTAATGTTATATTTGAAGCCAATCAAAAAGCTCAGTAACTGCTATTCAAGCAGTGCCACTGGGCTCTGACAGTGAATTCTATGCATAAGATCACCTGATACAAACTTCAGTGGACTTCGTCAAGAAGCTGAAACCACAGTGCCTTCCGGATGGCTCCATTTCACAGCAGAACCTGCTGTCTGGGCTTCCCAGTTTGCATTTCTGTGGGGCCCTTCTCAGAAGAGCACTGAACATGTTATCTTAATCCCCATATACCCTACTTTGTTCATCATGGCTGTGGGTGCCATAACACGCCATAACACATGGCTACCCAGACGTGGAAACTATGAATGAAATAAGAATTCCCCAATTCTGCTTAGGTAAGTATACCTACTTAGGTAAATATTCCTTGTGAAGTTCATCCTCTTCTGTATTAAGGCGTATGTGAGAAATCACTTGATGGACAAGGGTGTTCAAAAGGTGTTTACATAGAAACCAAAAAGGACTGCTTTATACAAACTGAGTGTGTTTTCCCTATTCTAACCATTGCCAGGGCTCCTTTTATTCAACCATGAAAAATAACAGATTTTGAAAACTTTTAAGGCCTATGAAATAGCAAATAAGAGAAAGACTTAAATGTCATATTAACCTGAGTTCAAGTTACAGATCCATCAATCGTCAGCTATGTAACCCTCAGTAAGTTACTTAACCTCTCCATCCTTACTTTTCTCCACTGTTGGAATAAGTGGAAAGTCTGGAGTTGATACCAGATCTGTCTTCAAAGCCTGTTCTTTTAACCACCACACTGGCCTGCTCCAGACACCTTAAATAGCACCTTGCATGGGGGAACTCACTATATCTCTGCAGGGTGATTGATTTGTCTTCAAGTGTACCTCCTTCAATCAATGACAGCTAAAGCTAAACTCCAAGGCACAGGAGAAATAGCTTTCTTCACTAAGTTTTACACACACTCAATAGTTGGGTCTGAAACAGAGGAGCATCCCCTTCAAAAAATGATGAGACTGATAAATATGTTCTGTTCACAGCACAGAAAACCACACTTCAGTGCAGAAGCCATACTTCAGGTTAACCAGTTGTCTCAAAATCAAATACGCCACCAAAGCAGGAAAGTCTACTGTTTTCAAAGATGAGACACAAAATTTTAGTTAAGGTATGAAATTTTAATTGGCTAGTTCAGCAAAATTTTATATTCTCCTGAGAGGGTAATAAGGCCTACGTATCTAAATATTTTGAGTTAGGAATTGCAGTTATTTTCCCATATTATAGAAAGTTTTACAACACTTCTGAAAACAGGGGTTTAGATTACCTGGCTAAGAGGTACCAGATAAGAACCATAAAGAAGAGGTTCAGCCATAGTACAATCAATATTCATAGGAAGTATGGCAATCTAGAGATGGCATGACGTGACTAAGAACATTGAAATTCAAAACTATGTGTAGCCAAACAAAACACATCTGAAAGTTACATACGGCCCTTTCAGCAGAATTTGCAAATCCTACTTCAGAGAACAGGAGATAACGCCACCCCCTCCACTGCCCCTCAGAGTTACCCTACAAGCAAAATTGACAACAATTTCGAAGGCTGAGATAGCCTCTGCAAGTCAGGCTTCGGTGCTTTCTCTGTCAAGTCAGCCATCCCCTGCTTGGCTTTTAAGTGGTGAGCCATGTCCCACCCTACAGAGCCAGGCAGAGTCCTCTACTCTCAGACCACCAGGCGAATCTCTGTACTGTGCCATATGCATGCTAGTCCCACATTCATTCCTACTACCATACTTGGCTCATCCTTTCCATGACCTCAAATGGCTTCACCCTTCCTAGGCCAAGCCAAATCTAACCTATCTTTGATTTTGTTCATTTGTGTGTGTGTGTGTTTATTTTTTTTAATCCATGCAAAGAGCACTGAAGAGGGATGAATGAACTCAAACTACTTTGGTGGGGGTAGGGAAGGCTTCATAGAGAGGTGCCTATGTGTGCAGGGTATAGAAGGAAGAATGAATGGCTGCCAAGTGGAGGAGTGGGGAAGACCATTCTAGGCAGAGGGAAGAGCATGTGCAAAGTCTTGAAAGAGCCCTGAAAGCCATGGCAGGCTTGTAGAGGTAAGAGGCTGCAGAAGGCTATAGTCAGAAGGAGAAGACACTTGTTTGCCTCACTGAGGTATAGGACTTGACCCTGGAGACAAAAGGATCTGATTTTGGTCAAGGCCCCTAGTCAAGCCCATATCTTCCATGGAGTCTGCTCTTGCCATGCAAGTATCTCCTTCCTCCACATTCCTACAGCCCTTGACAACCTTGCCACACAATCAGGTGTTATTACTCACAGCCCTGAGGGCAGAAGCCTTTTATTTTTTTTTAACTTCTGTATCCTAAAAGCACCTAAGAATGTCAAGCAAGTAAATGCTCAATAAGTTCCCAGGACTGATTGATTCAAATTCCTCTAGGGGGTGGATTAAGCAAACCAGGTTCTAGAGGTAAGAGTAGGGAAACCTCTAAATCAAAGTCACTACAGACCTTACTGTCGGCCACGAGTGACAGGATCCAGGACAACAAAAGTTAACTTCAAAAGCAACCACCCTTGACTTCCATGAACTTGGACTCCTTTCTCTTTCTGTCATGCTCTGCCCCACTACCCAAGCTGAGATTCACTCCTACTCCCCCTGGGAATACTGGGCCAAAAGGGAAGGTACCAATACATCTCTGGTTCTGAACATACCCCATTAACTGGGAGGGCAGGGGACAATCAATGCATTGAGCAAATGCATCTGGCCCTGAAATGAGAGAGTGTGTCTGCTCCTGCGTGTAAATGCCAAGTTGCAGGGGGTTACCATAGCAACTCCAGCAGGGTGCTGCAGTGGGCAGCTTTGCACTGAGGTGCAGAAAAGCCATTTTTAACATCTGGGCTTTTGCTATGCACATTGGACCCTAGTAGCCACATCATGGCTTTAGGCCCTGCTTTGGGATTCTGCAAAAAAGGAACTGGAATTTTGAATACCTGTTAGTCCAATCTTCTTTTTTTTCATGTATCACACATGTCCCTCTTGATGCACAGTAAACACTGCATGTAGAGCCTAAAATAGGCTCTTTAGAAACATATAATTCCCTATACTCATTCTTACACATGACAATGAACAGATTGTACTTGCACATCAGCATGACTTCAACACAAAATTTACATCCACTGAATAACCCAGCAATTACACATTTTAATCAACAGCGTATCCACAATGTCAGCATTCCCAGCCAGTCCCCAGTTTTTATTGTGTTATTAGTACATTTTTAACGCAAAACTAAATAATGCCATCAAGGCTGTAGGTTGGGCTTAATGGGGTCTACTGAGCTGTACTCCAGGAACTGTGAACCAACTTTTCAAAGGACCAGGCAATTTTTGAAATAGTTTTTCCATAGGGGCTGGAGAGTGGGGGTTTACTCATCCACTTCTTAATGTTTTATGTCTCATAAGGAAAGAGCATGAAGAGGATGTGAAATAGCGTTCCATTTGTGGTTTCAACCTACATACGGCCAACAGGAAGCCATGTCCCTACAAAGTGAACTTTAGTTGGTCGGGCAGTCAAGAGATGAAACAGCTTCCTGGACATTTTCACTTTTTTTTCTTGGATCTAGAAACTTACTTGTGGTTATATTTTAATTCTCTCCTGGGCAAAATAAGAATGATTTATAGCAGCAGTAAAGAAATGGATCGCATGGTGGGCATGCACAGCAGGGTGAGATGGATCTGCACATGGAGAAGTGACGGAAATTTTGGACAACAAGGTCACATGAACCTGTGGTACTTTGCAAGATGCTGGAGCAGGACTACAGTATCTTTGCAGCTTGGAAGTGAAAAAAGAGGGGTGGATTAGAAGTGATGTAGAAGTTCCAGTATCTGAAGGAGTTTTATGGCCTAAGGAAATTAAAACAGGGATACCAAGAGAGAGATGTAAATAAATAAACAAAGGAAGGAAGAGCTTCTTGGCCAGGGAGGCTATTCTCTGTGCAGGAATGCCTATCTATCTAAGGGAGCTGGAGAACAAAGATGCCAGTGTTAACAGACTACAGTTGGATGATTTGTTCATCCAAGGAATTGGAAATGTGGAGGTGTCTGTAAGGAGGTGTCTGTTACATGTAAGCATGGAGGTAGGACTTGCCAGGATGGACACCAGGGGTGTAGGAAACTTCTGTTCTGAAAGAAGGCCAGAGAGTTTCAGCAACCTGGTGACAGAAAAAGAGCTCTCAGTGAGTGAATACTGGAGATTCAGCCAGTGCAATCTGACCTGCACATACCTGGCTAGGTGGGCACTGGATACCTATTTCTAACTCCCCCAGGGGATGCTGTGGGTGGGGATGGGGGCCCAGGGAGTGTGAAGCAAAGAACTGAGCATTTGGCCTGGGAGTGGAAAAAGGGCTTCTGGGAGGTGAGCTGGGAACTGCCAAGAAGTGCCCTGTCAACGTGCTTCTGAATGAAAGCTGGGAGGTCAAGGCTGGGAAAGGTTTCAGAGAGACTCCTGCAACCTGTTCCTTTGGGGCAAGGCGGCTGAGGGGAGGTGGAAGGCCCAGCTTTGAGGCGCCAGTCTGCAAGTCGGTATGGAGAATGGTCTGGGAATGGGGCGGATCCAGGGAGGTAGGAGTGGGGGAGGGGAGGTCGCCGGCGAGTGGGTGTGGAGAGCAAGCCCGAGTGGGGGGGTGAGGGCGCCGGGCCAGCGCCTCGACCTCCCCCGGGACTCACCCAGCACGAAGTAGGGCAGCTCCGTGTTCTCCAGGTCGTCCACCACGACCATTTCTCCCGGGAAGTCGTTGCGTACCGAGAAGAGGAGCTTGGGCTCGGAGGCCGAGGGGCTGTGCATGATACTCAGGTCGTTCTCGCGCAGGAAAGGCAGCGCCGACACCGTGATGCTCTTCAGCTTGCACTCCAGCTCCTTGGAAGGATCCACGTCGCCCGCGGCCGTGGCCAGCACCGCCGCCGGCCCCCAGCAGTAGGCGAGCAGGGCGCAGAGCCCGGCTAAAGCCATCTTGAGCCCCGGCTGCCTTCCTCCCAGCGCCGCGAAGGTGGGGGAGGCAGCGAGCGGGAGGGAGCGAGCGAGCGAGCGCGGGAGGCGGGGGACGTTGGGGAGGAGATGTGGAGCGGGGAAAGCTCTGGTCCCCGGAATGAGACGCCGCTAGCCTGGTGCAGGGCTTAAGCGCTGATGCCTGGAGAGCCCGCGCTCTTTGTTTCCCGAAGCTGCTTATCTGGGGAGGGGGAAAAGGGGGTGGGGGGAGGTGGGGAGTGGAGAAAAGGAGAAGGAAGGACGTCGGAGGAAAGAGGAAGGGAGCTGAAAATTCTAGGGAATCAGGTCAGTCCCCAGTAGGCTGCAGGTGCTGCCGCCTTTCTCCTCCTTTGCATCCCTCGGCAGGAGCACGCTCCTGGCTATAAACTACCTGCATAGCTTTTTTTTTTTTAACCGTTTTTGCAATGCAAAATATTCCCTCTCGCATTATCTTCCAGATGCCTTGGGGAGGGCGCACACACACACACACACACACACGCACGCACACCCTTTATAAGGTGCTTCCTCAGAGCAGGTGATGGGGGTCTCTAGAACCAAATACGCCCCCAGTTATTTTGTAGATGTAGGTGGTCCCAGTCTTCTTTACCCACTAAAATTGGATTTGTATATTGGATAAGCGTGTACTGGTATAAATACACGTGTGTATTATTACTCAGCACTAACTGTGCAGAAGTATTTAAAGGAAATATTCTGTATGTAGATATACATAGATGGTATGAATAACAAAGAACAAAGCCAGTGTACTGCATACGGTTAAGCAGGAGACCCGAACTTTTATTTGCAATTTCTCTCTGCCTCTTCAGTTTCATTTCTGTTACAAACGTTATCTATGATAAGCAATATAAAGATAATTGGGGGCATGCTATAATTGAGAGAAAAAGTAGAGCTAACTCAAAGAAATGTTGAGCTTTTAGTTTTAGAGAATCCAGTAAACAGAACAGAGCTGGAAGAAAATTTGAGAAAAACAAAGTTTCTAAGCACCCTTAACAAATGGAAAAGGAAGAAAAGAATATCCTTGGGCATGGGCCAAGTCAATCCCAGCCCAATCAAGAGTAGAGCAGGGTAGATAACAACAACAACATTAACAACAAAAACCCATATAAATTTTCTTTCCATTAGTGCTGGACAGTGATACCTTAACAAAATAACGACAGTAAAACTGTGATAGAAAAGTGATGTTTGTATGTGCTGGTATCTGATGATTAATTGAACCTTCACACGATAACCTATAACTTATTTCAAAAGTTTGCCAAAACTACACAACACTGTAGATCAACTATACTTCAATTTTAAAAAAGTTTGCCTCTCCAACATCATTTATTCAGTGCTGACTTAAATACTAGGTGCTGTAAGACTATGCTATAAATAACTCCTAATCTCTAGGAATTTAAGGTACCACCCTCTTCAAAGAGGACCCCCACTTTAGAAACAATTTCATTCTCATTCTAGCTGGTGTCAATTTATTGGCATATGTGGATGTATGTCCTTTAAAAGAATTTTTAAAAGCTTTTGCCATATATTTCACAAGGTTACTCTAGTTGATGAATGGGAATAGAGAAAATGAGGCATATTTAAGATCATGTTTAAGGAGTGAAAGGCCTGCTTACCAGAAAAGAAAACAAAAATACTTTATTACAAGTTAAGTTTTTGTTTTTTTAATTTGACGTATCTGAGAACTAACCCAGAGATATATTACCATGTAGCATTGCAAAGTACTGCAAAAACCATTTATCAGCTAATGACCTTTCTAAAACTCATCTTCATAGGAGATACTGCGGGAGAGAAAGACCCCATGATATTTTTTTGTCTACTCTCTCTAGCATAAAAAAGCAGTATTAGAACTTAGTTACTCAAGGTTTACCATTGAAAAATCAGAGCGGATAACAAGAAAATACACTTAGCCTCAGAATGTGAGAAATGGCATGAAACTACCAGATCATCTATTAGTCCAGTCTCTCATTTAACAGATGAGGAAGTTGAGGACGGTGAAATACTGAGGTGTTTTACCCAAGATCAATATGCCAAGAAGGGGTGGGGGAGCTAAGGCCACAAACAAGATTTCTCTGCCTAGGGCTTTCTCCACTACACAGTTATGGGACATCTAGGTGTACCCATGGATAGTTGTTGAACTTAATGGCCCCCAGTAATTCATTCAGTAAACACCTGCATACCTACCATATGCTAAGCGTCAGCAGGTTCTAGGAAAAATATTATTCCTGCTTTTGAGTAGCATATAATCTACTATTGTTTTGAAATCTTTCTCCCCGATTTCCTGATGTGTCTTGAGTCATTTTAGAAAACCCGAGTGAACCATTTGATGTTGATTTTCTAATAAGTCAATATCTACTTTGCTTATCTGTAGTCATTTTTACATGCTTATATTTTTACCTGCTTTCTTATTCACAGTTACAAGAAAAAGAGTACATGGATCAAATGTCCATTTAAAAGTGTATATTGAGGCTCCCCTGGTGATGCAATGATTAAGAATCCGCCTGCCATTGCAGGGGACACAGGGTTTGAGCCCTGGTCCGGGAAGATCCCACATGCCGTGGAGAAACTATGCCCATGGGCCACAGCTACTGAGCCTATGCTCTAGAGCCCACGAGCCACAACTACTGAGCTTGCGTGCCACAACTACTGAAGCCCGCGCGCCTAGAGCCCGTGCTCCACAACAAGAGAAGCCACCACAACGAGAAGCCCGCACACCCCAAGGAAGAGTAGCCCCTGCTCGCCGCAACTAGAGAAAGCCCGTGCACAGCAACGAAGACCCAACGCAGCCAAAAATAAATAAATAAATATATATATTTTAAGTATATATATATATTGATATGATCAAGTTACTTTAAAAAAAAGTGTATACTGAGTTGGAAAGACTTGGAATTGGTGTCTCAAGCCTTTAAATACCTCCTTCTCTGTGGAAGGGTCAAGCAAGAAGACTATGCAAATAAAAAGATAATATATTGCCAGGGCACTGGATTCCTGTAAACATGCATACACTGTCACATGGCCTTCTTTTAGGGAATTAAGTACCTAGAGATGGGGGAGAGGGTGAAGTTCACAGAAACTAGACCATCTATTCTGTACGATGTTTTACATTTAAATGGGGCTGGGAGAAATTTGTGTGTATCTACATAATCACCTTTCTGTACAGGCAACATGATGTGGTGAGACAACAGACTTGGAGTCAAGTCTCAACTCCATAATTTACTTATTTGGAGATGAGCCTGGACCATTCTTACCTTCACTGTCCCCCTCAATAAAATGGGGCCAGTGATCTCTGCCCATCGCACAGGCCACAGATAATATAAGTACAAGTACTTATACTTGTTTTCTCCTGAGGTCCAAATTCCTATATTCCAGTACCAACGGCCTTGCTCCTTGACCCTTATAATAGCTTGTGAATGCTTTCCCTGCTATTAACCTATTCTTTAGACAACTACCAGATTGATCTTTGTGAAATCTTGCTTTCCTCATGCCATTCTAAAGTTTTTCTTTTCCTACAGGATAAAGTTTGAACACCATAGTTTCGAAATTCAAACCCTCTTCCAAGTTTCATACGATTTATTCTCTTAGCTGTATTGCTTACTACACTATCCCCTTCCCCTCCCCCAACAACACACATACACATTCCCATCGAATTAAAGCCCGTTCTCCATTTTCACTCCTCCCACGCCATTCTGTCCACCTGGAACGCACCACTCAGTGTTCTCCAGATTGTCCCTTCTCTGTAGGCAAATCTCAGGCCTTATCTATGTAGTGAGAACTTCCATCACTCCCTTCTCTCATAGCTCCTCTCACAGATCCCTTACACACAAACACACACACACACACACACACCCCCCACATTAGGAGGCCAAGGGTCATATCCCAATACAGTGTCTTGCATTCAACATTCTTATTAAAAAAACAGAAACAATAATACATGCTTTTTAGAATAGGTGTGAGAAGGAAATGAGAGTATGTATATAAAGAATTTAACATTTTAGGCGTTTAGTTGGTGCTCAGTGGTGATATTTCGCCATTATCTGCTCTTCAATTATTTCAGAAAGAAAATAGGCTTTTTTTTTTTTTTTTCCCCGGTACGCGGGCCTCTCACTGTTGCGCCCTCTCCCGTTGCGGAGCACAGGCTCCAGACGCGCAGGCCCAGCGGCCATGGCTCACAGGCCCAGCCACTCCGCGGCATGTGAGATCTTCCTGGACCAGGGCACGAACCCGCATCCCCTGCATCGGCAGGCGGACTCTCAACCACTGCGCCACCAGGGAAGCCCGAAAATAGGCTTCTTTCATGAGATTTTCATGAGATTTTTTTTCCCATGTAGTAGCCAAAAGCAAACTAAATGATTTATGATCTTTGGCGTATATCCAGGATAAATGATTGTATATATCCACCAAAAGAATGAAGATCATTCATAGCAGGTTTACTCATAATAGACAAAAATGGAAGCAACCCAAATATGCATCAATAGGAGAATGGGTAAATAGCATTTAGTCATGTGACGGAATACTACACAGCAGTAAAATAATAAACATGCAACTATGTGGGTGAATCTCGCAGACATAATAAGTGAATGAAACCAGATACAGAAGAGTGTATCCTATAAGAGTCTACATTTATGAACTTCAAGACCAGGTAACATTAATCTTTGGTGCTAGAAGTCAGAATAGTGGTTATCTGTATGAGGAGGGGAGTTTTGACTGAGAATGCCAGGACGAGCTTCCTGGAAATGCTGTGGGTGGTGGTCACATGGATGCATATTTAGGCAAAAATTTATCAAACTGTACACTTGTGGAATTTTGTGATGTCTATTATACCTCAATAAAGTGTTTTTTACATGGCTTAGGACTCCATAGGAGAAGAAAGCAGAGGCAAGTTTTTCTTTTTACAAGTTGTTTTCTTGTTTCCCAACTCTATACCCCCTTTACTTCTCCTTTAGAGGTTTTGGAAATTTTATCTTTCTTTCCATCGAGATTCGTAATCATTTATTCAACTACTCATTTCATTACCCACTCCTTTCTACTATTTTTATGAGAGTCTCAACACTTGGCATCTTGTCATCTGGAACAAGTTCAGGGGGCCTCTGTCTCTAGGAAGCACAGGAGTAAATAACTCAGGAGTTGGACAGCAGCAGATTTAGACCTTCACTGGATATTATTTTACTTAGTAAAATATTATTATATTTTACTTAGTTTATCCTGAGGACTATTCTCTGACATGTTTTGTTAGCTTAGGCAAACAGATACCTACAGTATGGAGAGGTAAGTTCAA